GGGGAAGGGAATACCAAATGGGGAGGCATGCCTCCCCTTCGCTGCCCCAGCCGCCCTGCCGGGAGCCGCACAATATGTGTGAAAGAGCCGCATGTGGCTCTCGAGCTGCAGTTTGGCCACCCCTGACATATATATTCCAAGTGGTAGCATTAATAATGGGACTTTTCTCTGTTTTAGCATGTATATAATTTTTCAGGCCAGTCTATGTGTGGAAGAAGAAGAGAAGAAGAGATTGGGACTACCCAAAGGTGTCTCAGAGCGGCTGACAAACTCCTTTCCCTTCCCCTCCCCACAACAGACACCCTGTGAGGTAGGTGGGGCTGAGAGAGCTCTGGCAGAAACGGCTCTCTTTCAAGGACAGCTCTTATCAGAACTACGGCTTGCCCAAGGTCTTATCAGAACTACGCCTTGCCCAAGGTCATCCAGCCAGGTGCAAGGGGAGGAGTGGGGAATCAAACCACTACACCACTTCCCCAAAAATGGGGGGGGGTGTCAACAGGGCAGGAGAAAGGCAGAGGTGACATAGGGTCCCCCCCGGCCACCGGGGAAGGATGGAGGGGTTAGGGTTATATGATAAAAGGAGATAGAATAGCCATCTCCAAGTACTTGAAGGGCTGTCATATGGAGGATGGTACAGAGTTGTTTTCTGTTGCCCCAGAAGGTCGGACCAGAACCAACGGGTTGAAATTAAATCAGAAGAATCTTTGGCTAAATATTAGGAAGAACGTCCTGACAATCAGACAGAACAGGCTTCCTCGGGAGGAGGTAGTGGGCTTTCCTTCTCTGGATGTTGCTGAACAGAGGCTAGAGGGCCATCTGACAGCAATGCGGATTCTGTGAACCGGAGGTCCCTTCCAACTCTATGATTCTATGATTCTATAGCTGCCAGATTCAGTTTGGAAAATGCCCAGAGACGTTTCCGTGGTCATTTGGCTGGCATGACTAGATGCCGAGGCACACAGAACGCTGTTACCTTCCCACTGAAGCAGTACCTATTTATCTACTTGCAGTTTCTTGCTTTCGAACTGCTAGGTTGGCAGGAGCTGGGGCCAGAGATGGGAGCTCACTCCGTCATGCAGCACTCGGGTCTCGAACTGCTGAACTACCGACCTTCCGGTCTGCAGTTCAGCATCTTTCTTAACCACTTGAGCCACTGCAGTCCTGTTAAATACCCGGTTACGTCACCATAATAATACTGGTGATTCCTAGAGCTACCACATGTTGCTTCCAGGTTCTCCCTGAAACTGACATAGCAATACAGCTGCCATTGGACCCCCTCATTTTCCCACCCACAACCCTCCTGCGTGGAATCTGTATGGAATTTAAAAAAAAATCATTGGAAAGGAATTATATGGAAAGAACAATGGTAAACCAAAGCTTATGTGTGAATCTGGAATCCTGCTTTAAGTTCAAAGGATCCAAAGGCATTTTAGTAACTCTGTACCTCATTGCATTTGTAGTAAGAGCTACATTATTTCCCCTATTGCTTGGTCTCCTGAAAAGAAGCAGAAGAAGAAGAGGATCAACATTACCACTTTTGTCAGGAGATGATTTTGCAACGGTGAATGTTGTCATCTCGTTGTTGGATCTTTTATCTTCTGGGGGAAAATGTAAAAAATAAATAAATCAAAGAGTAAGTGTCAGTCTATGCAAAGGGTTTCTGATCTGGCCAAACTTAAAAACAGCAGGATAATGAGAAAGCAGATTGTAGATTAGATTTGTTGTATATGGCCATTGGCCGTTACAATACAAGATTACATTCAAAGAATACTTATAATTTAAAACATTGCATTCAGGATAACACTCAATCATACAACTAAAATGTACAGCTAAAATGTCAGGATTACAACAGTCTGGAATTTTAAAAGCATGGTATCAGTACTTTATAACTCGTTATGAGACATTTCTCAGAGCCGCCTTGGATCTGACTTTCCTAGCGACAAGTGCAAAAAGCGCTACCTTGTGTGAGACCAAGGGGTTCGTATCCGACAAGAGAAAGATCAGCTTTTCGCTGTCAGATAAATTGTGCACTTGGCTTAAAATTCCAGATAGGAATCTGATTCTAAGGTCCGAATATATTAGTGAAATAGATCTTCCACAGAGGTTCTTCATACACAAATGTGTTGTTCCTGTGATTTATTGGAATACCTTCCAGAGAGCAATTCAGTGGGCATAGACCGAAAACGAAGTGCGGTAAATGCCGATCTTAAAATGTGTTCTCCAATATCTGTCAAATAGGATGCTCTTGAATGATCTAATGAGAAAGTAGGTATTCCTCACTCCCTAATCTCCATCTTTAACAAAAATTAATCCAACACAGTTGCTTTTAGTAGTTATGTGAGACCTGAGTCACACATTGCTGAAATGTGTGGAACGGAACCACTCTCTCTTCCACCAACAAATCTAGTCCAAAATGAGGAGAATTAAGGAAGCATAAACTCTGGCAATTGAAATGCAAGGCTGTGGAAAGAAACCCAAAGGGGATTTTAAGGAGTACATCATCAGAAGCAGTAGGACAAACAACGAGATCGTCTAACTATATCATAAGCAGAAGGCCACTAAGGGAAGCTATTAGACCATCAGTATGAGAAGATTACAGAAGGGGTATAGGGAGATCTCAGGGAAATGGAATGAATTATTTTCACCTCTCTTCATGTTGGGCAGATACCAATTCTTGAACCAAAATTCCCAGGGAGGATGCGTAAACAACTGAGTCAAACAGAGGTGCCCAGAGAAGAAACTGAAGGGCTAATTGATAAATTAAAAATTAACAAATCACTGGATACAGATGGGTTATTAAAAAACTAAAAATACATAGGCCCCGGTCACACGGAGCATTAGGCATGCTAGAGAGATGGAAGATAGGCGGATTTTCCGGGCGCGATCTCACCACCACATCTGGGAAGCGTGGAGCTCCTGTGGCTCACCCGAGGCTTCACTCCGAAGATGCGCTGTAAAAGAAAGCGCGGGGCAAGGGCAGGCGTCAGATCACGTTTCCGGTGTTAGCCCGTGGCATCCGGCGCCCGCCCATGTCCCGTCGCGAAAAGGGGGTTTTTTTGTCACGTCTCCACGGGTGCGCACAAGCACCCAACGGCGCATGTGAACACTTGGGTTAAAAAAAAAAACACAACCCCCACGGTGCCACTTCTTTGCCATGCTGCAGGAGTGAGGTATGATCGGCACCTCCCCCCAACCACGGGACGTCGGCGGAACGTTCGGCGGGACGTTTGATCCGGCTGCTGCGTGGTAGTTCGCTCCGGGGCAAACAGCCACGCCTCCCCCACCCTGCGATATCCGGCCCATGTGACCGGGGCCATAATTGGTCATTAACATTAGCCTCTGTGCTGATTTTTAGAAGTGAATCCAATGAAACTATAGATCAGTTAGCTTACCAGGTGTCCAGGGCAAACTGGCAGAAAGTGACATGTATCCAGCCATGCAGTTCCAAAAACTTAATGACACTTTGGAAGATAGGGTGGCAGTCCTTACCCATTCTCTCTTCCCCTATAGACCTTTAATTTCCTCCTTGTGCTTTTTCTGATGGTCTCCTGATTCCCAGGAACAATATTTCCAGGGCCTCAGCGGACTGCAGCATAAGAGAAAAGTGGGGAAAGTCCTTCCGAGCTCTGTAAATTTCATGATTGTTTAAGTACACCCCTTTATTATTAAAGGAAGAATTGTTAAACATAAAGAAGAATGAGCCTTGCTGAAGAAGAATGAGTGTGGTTTCTGTAAAGGGAAGTCCTGCCTTACCAGTCTGTGTGAACAAGCATGAAGACTGGGATAGACTTTTTATACTTGGGACATCCAGAAAGCATTCGACAAGGTGCCTTGGTGAAGGCTTCTGTGAGAACAAAACCATTGTGGGGCCAGAAGTCTTTCATGGATTGGAAACTGGCTTCAAAAAGAAAGCAGAGGGTGGAAATAAATGGATAGTTTCCACAGTGCAGGGAGATGACCAGTGGGGTGCCCCTGAGGAGCTGTGTTGGGGGGCAGATTCTACTTAATTTATCCATAAATGACCTTGAAAGGTACTAGAAGGAAAGAAACTTCTCCCCAAAAAACATAGAGAGACTAACAGAACATAGCGAAACTGAGCATAGAGTAGGGAACTAACTTACCACTAGAACCAAACTCCCTTCAGACTTACCCCTTGCTTCCTCATAACTCTGTAAACAAAGGGGAGGCGCACCCATAAAATCAGGGTGGGCAGGAATGTCCCACTTCAGAACCACCGAGAAAGGAAGATTCATGGTAAGTGAAAGAAACCTTCCGTTCTCCAGTGGTTCTTCGTGGGACATTCCTCACGTCTGGGACGTACAAGAGCAAATATTTATAGGGTGGGAATCCGCATTCCCGTCTACAGAGTGTGTTGAAGCACCCTACGACCAAAGGCCGCCTCGGCCGATGCTAACTTGTCCACTCTGTAGTGCTTAGTGAAAGTATGAACTGACCTCCAAGTAGCCGCCTTACATTATTATTGTTGTTGTTGTTTTTGCTGTTGTTGTTATCATCATCATCATCATTAAATTTATTAATGTCCAATCCCTGCTACTGCAGGGCTCTGGATGATGTACAATACGAATGACAACATACACTAGATAAAACAATTAAAATCAAACAACACATTTTAAAACAGATGGCGAACAAATTCATCCCATTTCAGGTTGCCAGTTGCTTCATGTTCGGGGGGGAAGGCAAATATAGAGAGCAAAAGAGGGTGCTGGCCAAGCAGCCCCGTAGCTAGGGAATTCTTTGAGAGGGGGCCTCGGGGGGCCCACCAGCTAATTAAATGAAAGTACAGTGCAGGTGGTAAGTTGGAGCACTTTAGGGTCAGCCCAGGAGGGAGGGGGCCCAGAAGAAACACTAGGGGGTCAGGCCCCGTGGGCCCCATGTTAGCTACGGGCCAGCGGCCAAGATGGAAAACTGTCACTGTCCTCAGCCAAAGGCCTGGTGGAACATCTTAGCCTTGCAGACCCTGTGGAATTCCATAAGGTCCCGCAGGGCCCTGGGGGTACTTGGCAGAGAGTTGTACCAGGACCGAAAAGGCCCTGGCCCTGGCTGAGGACAGCCAGAAGGTTGCCACCAGAAGAGCACAACGCTCCCCTTGGAACATAACAGACGGTCCCATAGATACGTTGGTCTCCAACTGCTCAAGGCTTTATAGGCCAATACCAGAACCTTGAACTTGACTCAGTACTCCACTGGGAGCCAGTGTAGCTATATGGATTATATGAATTTGTTCCGGATGGTGAAAACATAAGGGGATTGTGAGGTGCTCTGAAAGGACCTCTTCAGACTAGGTTAAGGGGTAACAAAATGGCAGAGGGATTTCAGTGTGGGTAAGTGCAAAGTCGGGATGCCAGCCTCCAGGTGGGACCTGGGGATCTCTCAGAATCACCGCTCATCTCCAGACTACAGAGATCAGTTCCCCTGGAGAAAATGGAGGCTTTGGAGGGTGGACTCTGTGGCACTGAACCCCACTGAGGTCCCTGTTTCCCCAGGCTGCACCCCCAAATCCCCAAGAGCTTCCCAACCTGGACCTGGCAACCTTACCCCCCCCCCATCCCTCGCTGGTAGCCGGGGGGGACCTGGCAACCCTAGTGCAAAGTGATACATGTCAGGGCAAAACAGTCCTAATTTCATGAACAGGTTGATGGTATCTGAGTTGTTGATGACAGAGTGGGGGGGGGAAGACCTTAGGGACATGAGGGATAGCTCACTGAAAATGTCAACACATTTTGCAGCAGTGATTTAAAAAGGCAGGTCCCATGCTAGGGATCATCAGGAAAGGGACTGAGAATGAAAATGCCAGTCTAGTAGTGCCCTTATACCAGTCCTTGGTGTATGCACGGGGTGGCAACCAGCAGGAGACTGGGGGGAGGGACATGAGGGGGCGCGGTCAGTCACAGCATGATATAATTTGTGGATTAAATCCATAGTTTCCAGCGACTCCTAGTAAGCTTTCCAGACAAGGCTGGCTATTGGTGGGAAACTCAACGCTCAGTCCCAGTTTCTCACTGGCAATATAGGTCCTTTCCGCACTCGGATCTCATCCCTGGTTTTATCAGAGTTCAGCTCGCGAGACAATACCTTGCATTTATCCCTGGTTATAGCGGCATCCATTTATCCTGGGACAAGTGTGGGGCGAAACTGGGTGACCTCAGTGTAATGGGGAAACAAAAAATACCCCGAGATAATTATGGGGGGGGGACTCACATGTAGTGTAGAATGTAAATTCAGGGACAGGGTTGAGCAAGGATTTGAGGTCTAGGACCATAATCTAGCATTCAGCCAAAGCTCTACAGAATTTAATTATAGAGTTTTGGCCAAATGCTAGAGTGACCTCGGCAAGAAGAGGAGGAGGAGGAGGAGGAGGAGGAGGAGGAGATTGGATTTATCCCCCGCCCTTCACTACCTGAAGGAGTCTCAGAGT